AATAAAATTTTAAACTGAAATAAGCTAGAAGGTAGAAGAGAACGGAGTAAAGCATTGCTTATATAGATAAAGGTCATTTAAAGAGTTCAGCAGTGGGCTGGGATGTTGTCAGTGAGTAAAAGGGCTTGCCTAACACACATGAGGCTGCTGGGTTTGATCCCTAGCACCCCATAAAGAAGGGGTGTTGGTACATACCTATAACCCTAACACTCAGTATTAGGAGGATAAGAAGGTCAAGGTTATAAATGCCTATATGGTTTGAAGTCAGCCTGGCATCCTGAAGGGAGGGCACTGGGGTGGGGGCGGGGTGCTAGGAGGGAGAGGTGCCATCACATGTTGGAGATAGGACTCTATCTGGATGGGTGTGCACGGGCAGTCCTTGGCTCCCACTCAGTGCTCCTCTGGGACAGAGCTGCTAATGTGGAGGGCATGGCAGGTACTAAGTCTCCATCTTCAAAGGCAAGTCCAAGCAATACTTTCATTTTCTCTAAGTCAATGTGGTGGGGAAGGGGCTATACATCCCTCTAAACTATGGGAAACTTGATCAATCATTACCAGGGCTCATCCCTAGCCCAAGGTGGCTCCAGGACGCTAGGATCTTGGGCATATCAAGTCTAAGAGGACTCTGATCACTTGTTAGTCATCTGTTTGGGCTCAAGAAGATGGCTGCTTGGTGGCTCCATCATCACACCCTCCCCTGACAGACAGCTCTGTTGCCTCCCTGCCACTCGGAGGCAGTCATATCCGCCCTGCGGTCATATCCGCCCTGCGGTCATATCCGTCCTGAACCTGAGTTCCTACAATCTTTGAAGGGACCTACGAGACTTCCCCATTCTGTCCTTCCCCCCCCACCCCGGTTTCACTGCCCAAGAAACCCCCACGAACACATACAGTACCATTTCCTCAAGAAGCTTGGCTCTTACACGAGTGACCATACCATCCCTCCAATCACTCCTGCTTGGCCCTGCACAGAGGCAATTTGTAGGGCATGCTGCAAACTTGGAGAAAAGAAAAAAAAAAATCCATTCTTGAATCAAAAATAGATCCTGCCACAAGCAGTCACCCGGAAACTGTGACAGGTTGTGAGGGGCTGTGCCCTGGGTAGGAGCTAGAGAATGCGGGCCTGGGCAGTGCTGCGATGATTTCCTGAAGCAGGCAGCGGTCCTCGGGAAAAGCTTGGCCTTGGTAAGTCGTTCATAAAGAATTAGAGAAGAGGGGAAGGAGCAAAGTGCTCAGTTTCCTCAGCTGGAGCAGCCAGCTTTCTGACCCACCCAGGGCCACACAAATCCCAACATCGGAAACCAGGGTCTGACATGGCTTTTCATCCTCTGTGGTTCTAAAGCCAGTGCAGGACCTACAGCCAAAGAGAGCTGCTGCTGTGGCCTCCACCCTGTGGTCTCCACCCCACCCCTGTGGCCTCCACCCCACCCCTGTGACCCCCCACCCTGTGGCCTCCACTCTACCCCAATGACCCCCACCCCTGTAGCTTCCACCCCACCCCTGTGACCTCCACCCCACGCCTGAACAGGTTGTTACTGAGGACAAAGCCTCTTCTTCAGCCACCCTCAGAGTGACTGTCATCGCCATTGAACTGTGTTTCCAAGTGCCCTCCACCCTTTTATGTCTCTGCTCAACAACTCTCCTGCCCTCCTTATTTATTTATGCATTTGTTCTTTTGCTTGTTTATTGGGGCAGGGACTCACTGTGTAGCCCTGACTGGCTCAGAACTCACTACATAGACCAGGCAAGGCATCAAACTCACAGAGATCCGCCTGCCTCTGCCTCCCAAGGGCTGGGATTAAAGGCGTGTGCCACCACACCCAGCTACTTATTTAATTAATTTAATTACTTTAATTAATCCCTATGTGTGTGGATGTGTTCGTGCGCCTGAGCTCATTCCTCAGCCCTGGGGTCCTCTCTTGCCTCCCTGTGTGGACCTCTATTCCTGATGTCCCTTTCCAAGGGATCCGTTCTGCCCCTGCCCAGGAGTGCTTCCTCCAAAATCCATCTCATTGCTGAGGGGTGGTGGCTAACGCCTTTAATCCCAGCACTATGGAGACAGAGGCAGGTAGACTCCTTTGAGTTTGAGGCCAACTTGGTCTACAAAGTGAGTTCCAGGACAGCCAGGACTGTTACACAGAGAAACCAAAGAACAAAACGACAACAAAGCCATCTCATCCAATACATTCACCACAAAGTCTTTGATCTCCCAAACAGCACGCTTCCTCGCTTTTACATAGGCTACATCCTTGTACGAAGCACAGTATGTGGTCTGGGTTAAGGGTGCATGATTTACGCAGTAGTAAGGATCAAACCAAGGCTCTGTGTGTGCTACCTAGGCGTTCTGGCACCTGAACTAGAGCGCCATTCTCTCTCAGGTCTCTGCGAGCTTGAGGCCAGCTTGGTCTACAGAGTGAGTTCAGGGCTGCATAGTGAGACCCTATGTCAAAGAAAGAAAGGAAGTATCTTAGTTGGGGTTCCTATTGCTGTGACGAAACACCATGACTGAAAAACAGGTTGGAGAAGAAAGGGTTCATTTGGATTACACTTCCACAGCATGGTGGATCATCAAAGAAAGTCAGAACAGGAACTCACACAGGGCAAGATCCTGGACGCTGGTGCTGCTTACTGGCTTGCTCCACACGGCTTACTCAGCCTGTTTCCTTATACAACCGAGGATCACCAGCCCAGGGATGGAACCACTCACAATGGGCTGGGGCTGCCCCATCGATAATTAAGAAAATGCCTTACAGCTGGGTCTTAAAGAGGCATTTTCTCAATTAGGGCTTCCTCCTTTAAGAGAACTCTAGTTTCTATGCCAGGCTGACCTAAGACTAGCCGGCACAAAAAGAAAAAGAAAGGAACAGAAGAAAGAAGGAAAGAAAGAGAAGACAAATATTGTGCATGTCTCTTTCTGTAAGGAACTTTCTAGAATAACCAATGTTACAGACAGGGACGAGAGCTCTTTCCGCTGAGCATGAGAGGGACTGGCTGTCATTAACAGACGGAGGTCAGAGGTCATTAGAGTCTGGAGAAGGTGATGGTGGCAGAGCCATGTGAAAACAGTGCCCCTGAACTGCCCGTGTGTGTGTGTGTGTGTGTCAAAAAAGACAAAATTAAAACTAAAATGAAAAGGGATGAGCGGCCGGCTCAGAGAATAAAGGCACTGGCTGCCAAGCTTGACAGCCTCAGTTTGATCCCCGGGGACTCATATGATAGATAGAAGGAGAAAACTGGCTCCCATGTTGTCCTCCGACCAACATACATGTTCTGTGGCACATGCACAACATAAGTAAACAAGTTCTAATTTATTAATCAGTTAATTAAAGGCTGAGCATGGTATTGCACAAGCGCAATACCAATAATTGGGAGGTGGAGGCAGGGAGATTATGAGTTTGAGGCTACCCTGAGCTACACAGTGAAGGTCTGTCTCAATTTTTAAAAAAAATGTTTTTTAAATTCAATTAAAAGAGTCATTTTGGGCCGAAACTCTCAAGGGCCTTTGCGGGAACAGAAGCAGCTGAAAAGATCTGCTTAAAGTTTAAAGTGTTTGGATATAAATATTTTTAGTGTCCGCGAGCCACCCATATGTACGCCTGCTCCACACTCGTCTTTCCTCTCCTCGCCGGCTCTGGAGGGTGATGCGAGACTCATCTGCACAGGAAGGATCTAAACGACCTGATGATTGCAGGCTAATATTCATACGATGAGGTTAAAAGCAGTGGCTGGAAAGTTCTTTCATAAGACCCGCTCCACAAGAGGAGAAAATAATTTATGAGAACATGAACAATTAGCACTTTGTAAAAAAGAAATAATGCGCTTCACTTGATCCCTGTATTTAACATCAATTAAAGATTATCCTCATGAATGAAACCCGACCTGGAAATTAACAAGGGATTTAAATTGCATTATGCAAGCGAGAGAGAGAAAAGCCTGAGCACTGGTTCAGGGTTTCCCAGATCCACAATTGCATCTGCGCAGGGCAGCTTGGCCAGTCATTCCTTCACCTTTTTTCTGAGACTCAGGATGCTACCACTGCACCTCGGGGGAGCCTTAGCCTTTGTTTCAGCAAGAAGAAAGAATAGGGAATGTGACAAAAATCCTTGCAGAGTCACAAATTTGGCACCCTTCATTTTTAAAAATATCTTCTCGGTCATTTTTTTTTTTTTTTAACTGATAAAACTGACCCAGAGAGTCCCTGAAATGGGATGTCTATGCTGCTCCAGGATTTGTATCTGGACCATCTCCACGGGACTATTGAAGTGAGCCCAGAGGGCAGGGCTAGATGAGAAATTATGTGTTCTAAGCCAGCTGATTTGAAGTCATTGAATTTTTTTTTTCCTCCACCAAAATGAGAAACTCCAAAGAAATACAATAAGCTGCAAGGAGCCGCTCACAGCTGCCACCCCAGTGCTTGGGTGACTGGAGCAGGAGGAGGGTCTCGAGTTCAAAGCTATCCTGTGCTACATAGTGAGTGCGTGTTCTTGACCACCAATTCATTTCTCCCGCTGCACGCCAGCTACCTTGTGTCCTCAGCAACCCTCTACCCCCTAGATCAACGCTGTGGTCCCTAGATCTGGAGCTTGACCGAGGTTCGTATGTGTCTGGGGCTCGCAGAGCGCACTGTGACAGTGGAAACGCAGAAACCTGCAAAGAGCGCATGCTCAGAGCCCCGATGCTCCAGAGCCTGTGTCTAGAACAGAGCGGGAGCTCTAACTTTGTTGCCTTCTGACACAACAGCATCCTGGTGTTCCCTGAGGACATGTCAGGACCACAGCTCTGATGCTGACTGCTAAGAATTGTCCCACTGAGAGGAAGTGGGGTGTCTCCTGTCATCTTTCAGACCCCCCGGAAGAAAGGGTCTTGTTCACAGACTAGACGGTACCCTCTGAGAAACTGACTTTGGTTTGTGCCCCGCCCGCTATCCCCTGTACTGTCAATGTTACTACACTCAAGTGTTTGGGTTATTGTGCCTAGCGCTGGATCTGGGGGCAACTTACCCCTTTGCAGAGAGACGGGGGGGGGGGGGTGTTCATCTCTCGCATTCCTGCTTGCTGTGTGGATTTGTTTCTTCATTGTTACCTTGGGAGAAGAGAAAGCAGATGTTAACCATTACCCCTTGAGAATTCACCTTGCTGTGCTGTAAAATTCTGCATTATTAACATTCCAAAATTCTCCCATTCCTGTGTGCACGTCTTAGATGGCGGGGGGTGAATATTTGAGAATTCTAAACTGTGGAGAGGATGGAGGTGGCAGAAGTTTATTAAATTGGCCCAGGGCGGTTTTGAAATTTGAAAGTTTCTCACACTCCATGGCTCTGGGCCAACTCCCAGACGGCTCAGCTGAGCAGCCCACACAGGGCTCTGTCTCCAAGGTACCTTCTCTATCCTTACAGAGATGAAAGGCAAGCATTTGGGGGTGCTGAGGTAGGGTCTCAGGTTTGCCCAGGCCCAGTTAGGCTTGGGGACACACAAAGAACAATCGAGACAGCACACGGGAGACACTCAAGTGACTTCACAATGAGCGCAGAGAATCTTGAAGCAGTGGCGATGTTCAGAGAAAAGCCCTCTGTAGGCGCCTTCCCCCTCCAGAAGCCAGCGATGAGAACCATGGGTTTCTCTTTCTCAGATCCGCCTGACCCCCGGGGAAGTGGGAAGCTTGTATTGTTGTTGTTGTATTACATTATCTCATTTTTCTCTATTTGGGAAGAATGGAGGAGACAAAGCTAAATATTTGTGAAACTCTTGCAAACACACACACACACACACACACACACACACGCATGCACGCTTTTGCCACAAAAGACAACCTAAGGTTCCTGTAACAAGAGCGGAGAGCTGAGATCCAAGGCTTTGAAATCAGAAGTCTTGGGCTAACTTCTACCTCTGTGCCTATCCAGCTGTATCACCTTACCCAAGCTAAGTAACCTGCCAGGCCCTCAGTTTCCACCTCTGTGAAATGGGAACACCAACGACACCTGTGCCTTAGGGTGTGTTCTCAAGACAAAATGAGGGAACGGACGTAAAATACACAGCCTCCGGCATGAGGTAGATGCCCACAAAATTCAAGTGGCGTGTTTTAGATTTTAATTATTTGTTTGTCAGTTTCACTTTTTGCGTATGAATGTTTTACCTGCATGCTTGTCTACGTACCACAAGTGTCCGTCGGATCCCTGGAGATGGGGCTATAGATGATCGTGAGCTACACTGTGGGTGCTGGGAATTGAACCCTGGTCCTCTGTAAAAGCAGCAAATGCTCTTAACCTCTGAGTCATCTCTCCAGCCTTGTGTCTTATTATTTTCACCCTCGTTCTTGTTGGTGTGGTCATGGCTAGGCAACTGGGTCCCCGGGATTGGTGGTACCCCACAAGACTGACCCTAGAACTGCAAGCAGACTTGATGAGGCATTCCTCTTCCCAAATCTGCCCCCTCGGCCCTCAGTCCCTACCCCTAGGCTTAGAGTTCAGAATTCCCAGCTATGAAAAACTCACCAAGAATGTTTCAGAGAGAAAAGGCGGACAAAATAGGATCGAATTCCTGCAATTAACCAATTAACTGGAATCTTAAAATGCATTACAGGGAAAACCTGGCCCAGTACCAACCTCCATCCTGGTCTCCCGGGGACAGACTGCTCTTTAGCCCAGTGAAGCCTAAGAAAACTCAGGTCTCCTGAGCCTCAAGGGATGAAGGACAAAAGACTCCTTGGTTTTGTGGCGAAAAAGTCAAGAGCTTGGAGTACACCTGTAATTTCGTCAACATCTGAGAGGCTGAGGCAGAATTGTCCTGAGTTCAAGCCAGCCTGGGTGATGAAATCGTATCATAAAAAAGACGAGCCCATAGCCAGAGAGAGAGAGGGGTGAAGCCTGGCACAGATTCTCAAGAAGGCCACAGGGACAGTCTCATCAAACTTAAATGACTGACCAAGGTAACCGGCCCAGGGTCACACTCCCTGGCACTTTGGGCACTTTCTTGCTGAAGCCTAAGCTCCGGTGTGAGAGGCTAAGTCCCCACAGAGGGAACTGTTCAGACAGGCGCTCCCCTGCCTGAGCAGACAGCCATCCATCACTGCTGGAAAGGCAGCGGTAGGGATATGAACTCTGTCACTCCCTCCCTCCTTCGCCCTTCTCCCGTGGACGGTGGTGCAGAGCAAGAAACAGAGCTTGAGCTTCAAACTATTTGGCTCCCCCACCCCCTTTTCAGGAACGATACCGTAGACAGGAGTTTCTCCATTTCTCTAAACAGCCCTCCTTTTGCCAATAAGGATGGCTGCTCTTGGCCGTTGAGTGCTGTCAAAGGGGCCTTCTGGTGAGTAAAGGGGGACAGAGATCTCTCTGGGACCCCTGGAGAGACTCGCTTCCACCACCATCCCACCCCACCCCAGCCCCCGCCTACCCCCACCATTGCCTGCTGGGCAATCGCATGGCAGTGTGTAGTGATTACCGAATAATTTGGTGGTGAGCTGGGTCCCCTTCGAAATCACATTCTGCAGGCTCTGCATCCCCAGTGTCCTGGGCGGGGTTAATGCCTCGGAACCCACATCCGGGGGCTGAGGGGCTGCGGGGCTGCGGGGCTGCGGGGCTGCGGTGTGCTCTGAGCCATTGCGGCCTAAGCTGAGTTGACAGGCTCCATTAGAGAGCAGCTCTGTTGTGGAAACTGTGATGTTAACCGAGGGCCATGGCTCTGGATAGCAATTCCCACAGTTCCCTGCGCTGGCTAGCAGGCCGGAAGGCTTTCCATAGGGGTGAGTGGGAAGATGGGGGGGGGGGGGACTTTCCCACTCCCATTCCAGGTGCTGTCCTCTACCTTGACCTGTAGGGCAAGTATGGCCTAGGGTTTCTCCCTTACTCAAGGAGACCCATGCTCCCAGACACCCAACTCAACCCCTGAACCCTAATAGTCCATGCATGCTGGGATCATGGCTTCAGGCAATTCTCAAAATAAATCCAAAGCCTTGAAGAACTTGGGGGTCTAAAGTAAGGAAGCCAGTGGGGAGTGGGGGGAGGTGCCCTGAGTCCACATGTGCTTGTACACACAAAATAAATGAATAATGCAAGATTTTTCATTAAAGTGGAAAAGTCTTTCTCCAAGACTCTGAGGCAGCTTGAGCTCCGGGGTGGGAGAAGAGACGGAGTCCAACCACTGCAGCAAGAGCAACTCCCCGCCTCCACCAGACAGGCCTCAACAGCCCCCACTTCCAAGGGCTGGGGACAAAGCCCAGTTTCTCAGAACCTGAATCACAGTTCTATTGTTGCCACCCAAGATACGGTGACAGATGGTAGGTAGGCCAGGCCAGGAGCAGGCTGAGGTCTCCTTCTCTAAGAAGGGAAGGGTGTTGCCTCCTGCTAAGGCCCTGCACTGGAGAGCCGGGGAGGGGGGCCTAGTCTGCCTTCATCTGCCCAGGAGGCAGTCCTGGGACAGTAATGCCCTTGAAGTTACAGATTCTAAGACTTTGAACCTAACAAAATGAGATCAATAAAATGAACTCATGAATTCACACACTCCAGGGACAGAGCCAACTCCTGGGTCCCGCTCCCTCTTAGGAAAAGCGGGGTTCCCCCAACACCAAGTTCTCTTCATGCACTGTCTGTCTCCGCAGCTGGGCCCAGGACCCCAAGTCTCACTGGCCCCAGAGATGTTCCAATCTCTGCCTATCCAAAGATGTGCCTGTGGGCTGGGCATTGTGGGTCCTGGGTGTGGGAAGGGCATCGTTTAGGCTCAGAGGAGGGCCAAGATAGTGTGAGGCACAAAACACTCAAATCTGGAAAGAATTAAGAACAACCGAGAAGTCTCGACCATGAATGGGGACCAAATCTAACTCCAGTCGCTGAACCTGCGGGAGTCCTGCCATGGCCTTCTAGTCTGGCAGCCTTGATCCAAGGTGCCCTCCTGCCCTGGTCTCACATCTGTCACTGCCCAAGCAGGGCAGGTGGCACGGGTCAGCCATCGCAGCTTTCCAAGCCGACGCTCCAACCCAGCTGCGAGGCAGCTCCCAGTCCCTCCCTTCTCTCGGCCATCCTGCAAGCGGAGGTCTTGGGTGCCAAAGCCTCTCTCCTATGGAGCCACCCTCGGGGCCGCCAGCGCTGGTCCCCGGCGGAGACCGAGGCTGCCATCTAGCGGGTGCGGCGGGTACCGTTGGGGACTCGAGTCCGCACCAGAGCCAAAGGTTCCCGAGTCTGCACTTTTTTGGCTGGTTTAGAAATCAAGACTTGAAGTCCAGTTCCAGCTGTGTGACCTCATCCCCCGGCCCACTCTGGGCCAAACTTCCTTTCCCCGTAAACCGAGGGGACAGGACTCCTTCATTCGGAAAATTCGGGAGTCAGGGTCGTCGCACCCTCCTTCTCCGGACCACTGCCCCGCACTCTTTCCCCGCGCTAGCAAACAGCCAATCTGGTCCCCCAGACTGGGGAGATGAAAGAAGGCGCTGTGGAAGCCCGCAAAGCAGAGATCCGCTCTGAACAGCAGGATCATTTTCTAGGAATTGTAAACCCAGAACTGTAAATAAAATGCTAATGATTTATTCCTACTCAAACTCCGGGGGCTGCGCTGCAGCTTTTGAAGACAATTCCAAGCGTGGCTTTCCAGGAAGGCGGGCCTTCCTGCTGCGCCTCCTTAGGCTCAGCGAGGGCTTCCCCACTTGCTGTGGGTCGGACTGGGGACTCCCGTAGTGTTTATCGGAGACCTTGGAACCGGGTCTGGCATACTAGTCTTTTCTTCCAGCCAGCAATTTTCCAGCACTCACCCAAGTAACTCTCCCCAACGACCATGGTAGTCGAAATGGTCTTAGGATTCACATCTCCTCGGGAAGCTTGATTAAATGAACAACCTCACAAATAAACACATACTTAAAAATTACAACAGACTGGCAAGATGGCTCAGGAAGCAAAGACACCAGCCGCCAAGTCTGACAACATGGGTTCAAACCCCGAGACCACCCACATAGTGGGGGAAAAAAGTCAACTCTAGCAATTTGTCCACTGCCTTCCACACCTCCCTCTTCTCTCTCTCTCTCTCTCTCTCTCTCTCTCTCTCTCTCTCTCTCTCTCTCACACACACACACACACACACACACACACACAGTAAGCTGATTTTTGTTTAATTATGGAGATGGGCAGGAGATGTAGCTCACTTGATAGTGTCTGTCCAGCACACACAAAGCCTTGGGTCCCATTCCCAGGGCTGCATGAAGAGAGCTTGGTGGAACCCAGAAGCAGGACTCCCAGCCCCCTGGAGTGGAATCAGACGTCCCAGGTCATCCTACCTAGGGAGTGTGAGGCCACCCTGGACACATAAAATCCTGTCCATCCCCCCCTCTCCCCGTGACTGTGGGATATCTTTTACTTCTGGCCTGGAGTCCACGAGGATTGTGGGAACCTTCATAGACCTCTTGTAAGCCTTGACTGTCCTACCTGTTCTTATGTAGTTCTTTCAATGGTGAGCCTTAAACAGTAAATAAATACTTGAAAGTCATCCAAGTTTACATCTGTGGCTACAACTGGGTGCCCAATGCTTGGGTGTGCTAGATAAGCTGAGGGACGGGGGGGTGGGGGGGGTGGGAGCCCAGAAGCCTGCAATTCAGCCAGTTCGGCTGACAAGGACAGCAAAGATGGATCTACTTCTCCTCCCCATGCAGTAGAAGGTACTCAAAATCGGCCACTATTGCGGGATGTGTGTACATTGTGTGAAGGTGTATTGCTGTGATGGGTGTAATAAAAAGCCGAACAACCAATAGCTAGGCAGGAAATACAGGCGGGATTTCCTGGGAGAGAAAGGAAGAGAAGGGGGAATCTAGGCACATGGGAGACAGAGAGGGGTAACACCACGTGATAGAACATAGATTAATGTAAACGGGTTAACTCAAGTTATAAGAGCTAGTTAGGAATAAGCCTAAGCTATAGGTCAAGCTTTCATAATTAATAAGAAGTCTCTGTGTCATTATTTGGGAGCTGGCTGGTGGGACAGAAAAAGACTGGCAGGCCCAAGCTCAGAGCCATCTGCAGAGGCCTGGGTGACCATAAACCCTCAACCAAAGGCTAGGGCACTCCCCACAGAGGCACACCAATGACTTCACTGATTTTAGAAAAATTATCTTCACCAGACTCCTTTTATATGATTTCTGGAGACACTGCGAGTCTCTGGCTAACACAGCCATTGCGTCTGTGGTGCTTTCAGGTATAAGATATAAGTGACCCAAGGGTGGACCCTCAATGTCTCCATCAAGAAGATGTAGCCTAGGCTGACCGGAAACCTACTTGTGATCCTCCTGTCTGAGCCTTGAAGTGCCAGGATTGCAAGTGTGCACCACCATATATCTGTGACAACCCTCCACGTTACCAAGGAAACAGTTAATGGCCACTGGTAGATCTGTATATCACACTACTGGGGAACTGTGTACATCCTGTGGGGCCTGTACAGAAAACTGTACTCCTCTCTTCATAGGAAAGCATATTGATCTATGAACTGACTAGCTTCTGAGCCTTGGGGACACCATCAAATAGATAAAATAGGTGTAGACCATAGGGGCTCACAGCCTAGGTCAAATCTCCTTTGCAAAGCCAGGAACCCTGTCATTCACCTGTCCCCGTCC